CACATCCAACCATCCCCCACCCATCCACCCATCCACCCACCCATCCACCTACCTATCTATCCATCCATCCATCTATCTATTCACCCATCCATCCATCCATCCATCTATCCATCTACCCACCCACCTATCCACCCATTCACATGTACACTCCTCTTTTCAGCCTCCTGGCAAACCTTTGTATGGCAGGGTTGTGCCACCTTTCATCCCCTGTCCCTGCAGCCAGGCTTCCAGGGTTGTTCAGGGAGCTCAGCCCTGCTGGGATCCACTCCAGAACCCCACCCTGTTCTCCAGGCCTTCTGGACCTTCTCCATTTAGGGCTGGGATCCTGGAGCAAAGCCCAGGCTGACTGTGATTGCGTGTTCCTGAGGGTGAGGAGGAGGAGCCTTCTAGCCTGTGTTTGTCCGGGGCCCTCCTGGGAGCCACACCCAGGAGACCAGGCCTCCAAGGCAGCTGCACCAGATTCAAGAGACTGTGGGAGTAAGAGGGTGCTTAACCTGACAAGCTTCTATCTATGATCTCTGCTGGCCCCCTCCCCCCACTGTCTTGTAGAACCCCATGATCACATTTTTAGGATCTGCCAGGGGAAGCGAGCCTCAGAGGGCGGATGGAACAATGAGCGCCCTTGCTGAGTAGAACTTCCATAAACTAAGCCAATAAAAGGGTACAGGATCAAGCTCCAAATCCTGGAACATCAGAACCAGGGATGGTCTAGGCATTTGAGTCTGCCACTTTGTATTACAGAGGTCTGCGAGACCCAGGGAGCAAGTGATATGCCCCAGGCACACAGCTTACCGGGGCCACCACCATCATGCCAGCGGTGCCCTTCCCCCCCGAGAACCCATTCCACACTGGTGACTGCACTGGGACTTAGGCCCTGTCTCATGCCTCCCGGGGCAGGGTGCTTTTTGTTTCAGTTCACCAGCCAGCCCTCCCACCAGCCAGCTGGTTACAGCATGCACAGGTGGCCACAGGAGAGGTGGGGAGGTTTGCACATCACTCATTATAGGCCAGCCCTTGGGCTTGGGTGGGGAGGCCTTTTGGCCACTGCGTGACTCATCCTTGCAGAGGAATAAGAAATCTGAACGTGTCCTGAGCACCTGCCATGTTTGGGTGCCAGGTGAAGTCCTTGGACAGCTGCGTTAGTTTCTTCTCCATCCCACCTTTACTCTGCAAGTGTCACAGAGTAATAATGGAAGAAGTAGTCAAGGCTAAGGAGACTAATAGCAGAAGAAGAAGTCAAAGGCTAAGAAGACTGTGTTTTCTTGGCTTAACCCTGTGACTCTGACCATAGTGATAGCCCATTCTACCGAGCCTCAATTTCCCATCTATGAAATGGGCATGATACAGCCTGGCTTGATCATCACAATATATATAAAAGCCCCGCGTCCCCATAGACACTTAGTCCCATTCCCAGGTGTTATAGGGTACTGCTAAGAGAAATTCCTGGAAACCCCACGAAATACATTTCAAGTGATGGTTCCTAGCAAAATAACCAGAGCTTTAGCCTGGGAAAGTTGCCCATTGCCCAGAAGTTGATAGAAATGCAGACTCTCCGGCCAGCCCTTACCTCGGCACAGAGTCTAACTCCACATTTTATCAAAATCTCCGTATGACTCCTACGCACATTAAAGTTTGGGCAGGGGTCCACACATTTTTGCTGTAAGTGGTCCAAAGGGAACATATTTAAGGCTCTGAGGACCATGTGGTCACTGTCACCGTGGCTCAACTCTGCCATTGAAGTTCCAAATAAAGTCTTATTTGCAAAAGAAGGTGGAGGCAGGAGGGGGCCTCAGGCTGTAGTCAAGACCCCTTGGCCTGAGGCCTCCCTCTCCACAGAGCTTGGCAGGGAGGTGGGCCTGAGAGGGAAGGTCTTGGCCTCACCCCTGCAGCAGCCTCTCTATCGGGTCGACTGGTCGACTCCTCCTTCAAGGTTCTTCTCAGCCGTGATGTCAGTATGTAGGTGACAGTGGGGCTGTCGGGGGCTGCCGGGTCCTGCCCGGTTCCAAGGCTTGTTCTTCTTCAGATGCCAGGAAGAAGGGGACAAGTCCCTTGAAGCGCACAGAGGTGTACTGCTCCATCCCGTCCCACTCCCTCCTTTCCCCGAGCTACTACCACAGCTTCGGCATCACCAAGAACTACGTCATCTTTCTCGAGCAGCCCTTCAGGTTGGATATTCTCAAGATGGCCACCGCGTACATCAGGGGAGTGAACTGGGCCTCCTGCCTGGCCTTCCATGGGGAGGACAAGGTGAGCTCTGGCTGGACATCTGGTTTAGCGGGGGCGGGGGGGCAGGCTCTGAGAGAGAAGTCGGCATGCAGGAGGCTTCAGGGAAGGAGTCAGCATGGATTGGGGAGGGAGCCACCGTGCAGTCTCCCCAGGGACATCTGCCAACCTTCCAGAGAGTTCTGAAGCTAGATGAGGCCTTGATACCCCTGTGTCAATGAGTTCTTGGACACAGACTGCCCTGGGAAGAAGATGTCACCTTGGACAGCCAGTGCAGTCCCCCACACTCCCAGAATCCTCAATCCTGACTGGACGCTGAAGTCCTCACAGCCTCTGCCTTGTTGACAAGGCCCCTTCAGCATGTCTGCCACCACCATGTGATAGTGGGGGTGGGAAGGTGCCAGAGGTTACTTAGACATTGAAACGACAGAGTGTCCTGCCAGATGGTTCAATAGAAACCTCTCCTGCAGTTCAGGTACACCTGAGTGCTCAAAGTATTGTCTGTTTATGCATGCATGCCTATATGTGTATACAAGTGCAATGGAGGACCCCAAAAAACTGGAATCTATTTATAAAAATGATATATAAACTTCAGTCCCTTTCAAAGTACTCTCCATTGGATGCAATACGCCTATCGAGATGCTTTTTGCTCAAAACGATTTTTGAACTTGTCTATTCTGATGCCTTTGAGTACTTCTGCCATTTTTGTTTCACCTCTTCTACATCAGCAAAACATCTCCCTTTGAGGACTTTTCTCATCCAGGGAAACAACAAAAAGTTGGGGCAAGATGGGGTGAATAGGGAGGGTGGGGCACAGGAGCCATGCCATTTTTTTGGTCAAAAACTGTTCAACACTCAGCATGCTGTGGACAGGTACACTCGCAAATCACCCGTCATGAAATGACCAGTATGTTGAAAGAAACTCCAAAAAAAAAAGAAAATCACTGAAGCTGAATGCAGCCTCTCCCAACAATGCTGGCTGATACACTGATGCCAATGAGCTGCTAAAACACCTAGCAGAGGAAACCTGTGCTACAAGGGGCCTGCCCTTCAAAAGATAATTCTGGTTTTTTGGGGGTCCCCCATTGTATATGTGCACGTGTGTGCATGTATGTATGAATATATATGTATTTACTATTATTTATTTGTTGTTGTTACTTTTGAAAAATGTCAAGTCATTCTCAGTGTTATCTATTCAAGTAATATACAAGTATAGAAAGCCCCATGTAAAGTCACCTCCCTACCCACCTTCTCTCCCCTCCCCCCTCCCCTACTGTCCATTCCCCTGTCTGAGGGAACCACCCCTCTATCCATTAACACCTTCTCTTCTTTCTTTCTTCTTTTTTTTGAGTCGGGGTCTCACTCTCTCCCAGGCTGGAGTGCAGTGGCACGCTCATGGCTACCGCAGCCTTGACCTGCTGGGCTCAGACAATCCTTCCGCCTCAGCCTCCCAAGAAGCTGGAACCACATGCGTGTTTCCCCACAGCCGGCTACTTTTCGATTTATTGTAGAGACGAGGTCTTGCCAAGTTACCCAGACTGGTCTCGAACCTGGGCTCAGGCGATCCTCTTGTCTCAGCCTCCCAAAGCACTGAGGTTACAGGCATGAGCCACCACTCCTGGCTTTATTCCTCTTTCTATGTCTTTGCAAGCACTTTCATGTGCACATGCAAATGTTTGTCCCATGTGTGGCTGGCCGCTCTCCTTAAAGCCAATCCTCTCTCCTCAGGGCAGAGGGTAAGGTGGTTAAGGGAACATATGGGCAAGGGGGAGGTGAGGTCCTCTCTCCTCAGAACCTTCTCGAGGTTTCCCATCTTCCTCAGAATAAAATCCAAAAGCTTTGTCGGCCAGCCTCAGCCCCGCGTGCCTTCATCCTAGCCACTTGCCCCTGCTCACTCCACGCCTCCTCCTGGATCTTCGGATCTCAAGCTGGCCAAACGTGCTCCTGCCCCCGGGCCTTTGCATGTTCTGTCCCCTCACCTGGAGTGATGCTCTCCCCTAATGGCTTCCTCTCTCAACTAGTCTAGTCTCAGCTCAATGCCCCCGATCTTGAAAACCCTCCTTGATGAACCTGTCTAGAGTAGACCCCCGCCTCGGGCTTTCTCCATCCCCGACCTTGCCTCTGTTTCTCAGGCACACTCATCATCCTTGACAGACTACAGATTTAACATGTATTGTTGGCTTCTCCTCCACCAGCATATAGGCTTCATGAAACTGTGAAAGCGTTGTTTTGCCTCTCTGGTTCCCGAAGAAGTGGGTGCCTAACATGTAGCAGGAGGCCCTGGCTGGATATTGATGGAATGGGTAAATAGCAGCCCACCAGGAAGCCAGCAGAAACTGACTTTGCCCTGCAGCATTTCCCCAAACATGTCCAGGGGGCTTCCCATGGGCAGGGCTTTTGGGATCCTCTAAACCTCCAAACTACAGTCCCTGGGGCATCCCTGGTCCTCAGAGAGTCCTACATGAGACCAGTGAGAGCCCACAGTGGTGGGGCAGAAAGCCCTGGGAAAGGCTTTGCAACGAGACTTCCTGAAAAGTCCATGTGGCTGACCCAGCGATTGGGGTCAAGGGAGAAAAGGCCTAAAATGATCACTCCATCTTCACCTCCCCATCATGACCCCGTCTACCATGCTGTGAGAGCTTTCTCCTTGTTTCTGTTTTTGTTCTTTGAGTTGGTGTCTCACTCTGTCACCCAGGCTGGAGTGCAGTGGCACGATCATGGCTGACTGCAGCCTCCTGGGCTCAGGTGATCCTTCTGCCTCAGCCTCCTGAGTAGCTGAGACTACAGGTGCGTGCCACCATGCCCAGCTAATTCTTTAAACATTTTTTCATAGAGACGAGGTCTCACTGTGTTGCCAAGGCTGGTCTTGAATGCCTCGGCTTCCCAAAGTGCTGGGATTACAGGCATGAGCCACCGCCCCTGGCCACAAAGTCTTCCTCTTCTGTATTCCCTCAACATCCGAACTTGAATCTGGGGAAGGGGAGAAAGAGGGAAGCTAGATCAGAGGATGTGGTGAGAGAGCAGCCTGGACATGTCCTCCCTCCCCTCCAGAGCAGGGTGTTTAGGCCAGAGCTACAGAGAGAAAGAAAAATGCCCCGCCCTCTTGGCATTGGGCAACTCAGCTGCAGATACGGCTAATTGTCACCCAGAGTGATGCTGGCCTTGTGGCACCCAGAGAGGCCTAATGAGCTGGCACTCCCTCATGGGCTTGTTAGCTAGAACCAGGTCACCCCACTGCACCCTCTGAGATGGGTGAGGCTGCTGTGACAAGTGCCACTTGGCAAACGGGAAGCAGGCTTTGCAGTAGAGGCCAGGAGGGGGACCCAGGAGGACGGGGATGGGTTAGGATGTCATAGCTCCAGTCTTGGATGGAGCCTGGCACCTGGCCTGCTCTCCCCAAGTCAGTCATGGCCAGGAAGCTGGCATGTTATCACTCACCCAGAGCCATAGATGATGGAGCCAGGGACTGTGCACCCTAGGGAGTCTCCCCAAACATTGTTGTCCTGGTGACTGCAAAGACCCTGGCAGCAAAGGTTCCCTCCTCTCCGTCTTCAAGACATGCTCACAGAAATCCAACAATAAATGGCTCCCGTGTACTGGGCATTTTTGTCTGTCTAGCACTGTGGTGCGGGCACAGGACTTGGGATGGGGAGGGGCCATGCCACAGCCACAAGCTAGCGCCTGGTGGGGCTGGGTTTTGTCCAGTCCCCAGATGCCACAGTGCCGGCGGTCAGTGGGGGAGCTGACCGCAGGGGTGCTCCCTCTTTCAGACGTACATCCACATCATCGACCAGAGGACCAGAAAGCCTGTGCAGATGAAGTTTTACACAGACCCCATGGTGGTCTTCCACCACGTCAACGCCTACGAAGAGGATGGCTGCATCCTGTTTGACGTGGTCGCCTACGAGGACAACAGCCTCTACCAGCTCTTCTACCTGGCCAACCTGAACCAGAACTTCAACGAACACTCCAGGCTCACCTCCTTCCCTACCCTCAGGAGGTTTGCCGTGCCCCTCCACGTGGACAAGGTAAAGGCTCCCAGGAAGTTCGGTTTTATTGCCAGAGAGATGTGAGCCCAGGTAGCAAGTTCCTTTGGTACTTATTAGATTGACATTGAACTCTCACACAAACTGTTCTTAAAGAAAAAAGAGAAAGATTTTCATTATTTTTTTTCCAAAAGTACTACTCTTAGTAGAAACTTTAGAAAATATAGAGAAGGCCGGGCTCGGTGGCTCAGCCTGTAATCCCGCGCCTTTGGGAGGCTGAGGTGAATAGATTGCCTGAGCCCGCGGGTTCGAGACCCGCCTGGGCTGAGAGACCTCATCTCTACAATAAATCAAAAAATCAGCTGGGCGTGATAGCACATGCCTGTAGTTCCGGCTACTTGGAAGGCTGAGGCGGAAGGATCGCCGGAGCCCAGCAGGTCGAGGCTGCGGTGGCCGGGAGCGGCCACTGCACTCCAGTCTGGGCGACAGAGTGAGACTCCAACTCAAAAAAAAAAAAAAGAAAATATAGAGAAGGAAAAAGGAAAAAAAAAACCCATAAACCCACCACCCAAGGTATGTTTATCTTGTCTCCCAGTCTCTATCTCTCTCTGTCTGTCTGTCTCTCTCTCTCTCATATATATATCTTTTTTTTTTTTTTTTTTTTAGTTGGGTCCTCATTCTGTCACCAGTCTAGAATGCAATGGCACCATCACTGTAACCTCAACCTCCTGAGCTCAGGCAATCCTTCTACCTCGGCCTGCTGAGTAACTGGGACTACAGGTGTGCACCACCTCACCTGGCTAATTTTTTTTTTTAATTTTTAATTTTAAAGATGTGGAATACAATTCAGGGTTAGGTATACAAATGTTCATTATGCAGATACCCTTGTTGATGAGGTATGCCCACCCACCCCCATTTTTTGTAGAGATGAGTTCTGTATTTCCCAGGCAGGTCTCAAATTCCTGGATTCAAGCAATCCTCTTGCCTCAGCCTCCTAAAGTACTAAGGTTTACAGGTGTGAGCCCTGTGCCTGGCCCCCCATATATCATATATATCTTAATTTTAATCATACTGTACATAATTTTTGACAGCTTTATTGAGATGCAATTGACATACCATACAATTTACCCACTTAAAGTGTTCATGGTCTCACTTGTAAGCAGAAACTAAACATGGGGTACACACACATAAAAATAGGAACAGTAGACACTAAGGACTCCTAAAAGAGGGGGAAGCAAGGGTTGAAAATCTACCTATTGGGTGCCATATTCACTGTTTGATTGTTCAGTGGAGGCCCAAACCTCACCATCATGCACTAACATAACAAACTTACCTGTACCCCCAAATCTAAAATCAAGAAAAAAGATGTTCCTTCCAGCAGTCTTTGGTATAGTTGCACAGCTGTGCAGCCATCATCATAATCAATTTTAGAACATTTTTATCACCCCAAAAGGAATCCCTGCACCTCTTAGCCATCTCCTTCTAGTCCCCCTCCCTCTGTTCTTGGCAGCCACTCACCTCTGTTCTGTCCCTGTGTGTTTGCTCCTATCAGATAGTGGATATAAACAGAATCGTACAGTCTGTGATTTTTTGTGTCTGACTTCCTGTGCTTACACAATGCTTTCAAGTCCGTATCGGGAATCCTCTTCTTTTTATGGCTGAGTGAGTACGTATTCTTTTGCACACCGCTTTTTTCACCCGTTTGTACATCTAAACATCTCTCCGTGCCATTAGATAGCCTTTGAAACCTCGTTTTAAACACTTTCTTAATAGTCCATGGCACGGAGTCAACACCCATTACCTACACGATTCCCTGATGTTGAAAAATTCTGTTCTTATTCTAAGTACGAACACTGGACCAGATGTTGTCCTCGATGAGTATAATGTAGCCAAGGCTCTGGACTTGACTTTGGGCGCCTCAGAGGCTTCTGGCTCCAGAACTCTCTGACTTCATGACTTAATTAATGTAAATGAAACCAGAATCAATTCCATTAAACGCTGATGGCTCACATTTACCGAATGCAGGCCATGTGCCGGGTACTTTATTTTCCTTACCTCACTTAATGATCAAAACAACCTGTGGGAAAAAGGTCCCCACGTTAGCCTCTTTTTTTTTTTTGAGTTGGAGTCTCACTCTGTCGCCTAGACTGGGGTACAGTGGCACGCTCACGGCCACCGCAACCTCCACCTGCTGGGCTCAGGCGATCCTTCCGCCTCAGCCTTACAAGTAACTGGAACTACGGGCACGCGCCACCACACCTGGCTAATTTTTTGACTTATTGTAGAGATGAGGCCTCACCAAGTTGCCCAGGCTGGTCTCAAACCTGTAGGCTCAGGCAATCCTCTCACCTTGGCCTCCCAAAGTGCTGGGATTAGAGGAGTGAGCCACCACACCCAGTGTTAGCCTCATTTCATAGATGGAGGAAGTGAGACTCAGAGAGGTTAAGAAACATGCCCAAGGTCACACAGCTCAGAGTGGCAGAGTCAAGACTGAAACCTGCCCCAGTCTGTCCACAGACCCTTCTTTGTAACTGCTGCAGGGTCATAGCTCTGCCGTTCCCCTCAAAAGGCCTAACTCCTGGCAAGAACCTTAGATGGGTCACGCTGACCCTCACGGCTAGGTTCCTTACTGCAGGAGTTTGACCATGCCCCCCACCCCAGTGAGCAGGGTGCTGACATTTGAACCCAGGCTTGTCTGACTGTAGAGTTGGGGTCCTCTCCCTCTCTCCAACGTTTCCTCATTGTAGCCACACTTGTATGTCTGTTTTCACCATATTTTATATCACCTCTATTTAATGTTTGTCTGTTTATATTAGTTTATTTTAAAAAATTTTTGAGTCAGGGTATCACTCTATTGCCCAGGCTAAAGTGCAGTGGCACAACCACAGCTACCGCAACCTCAACTTCCTGGGCTCAGGTGATCCTTCTGCTTCAACATCCCAAACAGCTGGGACTATAGGTGCATGCCACCATGCCTGGCTAATTTTTTTATTTACTGCAGAGATGAGGCCTCGGCAAGTTTCTCAGGCTGGTCTCGAACCCCTGGGTTCAGGCAATCCTCTCACCTCAGTCTCCCAAAGTGCTAGGATTACAGAATCAGCCACAGCACCTAGCTTCTATTTAACGTCTTAAAGTCCTTTGTTTCAATCAACAGTCTCTTTAGTTAACTCTAAAGGACGCATATCACTACGGCCTTGCCTTTTGCACACAGAAGACAAGCACGAGAATGAAACAGTGGAAATAAAGCAAATGTCTAGGGTCCCAGCCAGAGCCTGTGGCTTGCCAAGATCTGGCCTCTTTGTGAAAAAAGAAAGTTTTTAAAGTATCAGGTGTTCAAGACATTGTGGCACCTCACCGAGCCTCTCTCCTTGGCCCAGTCAGAAAGATTAGAAGAGAAAACAGCACCGACTATTTCCCCACATGATTTGGGCTGTTGAATGAACAACCATGTCCTGCAAAATCAGCACACGAGCCACAGGCTTCTGCACCCCTGGCTCCTGAAAACACCACGGCACAACGCCTGGGATTGTCTTCTGGTTCCAGGAGGACCAGAGGAGTGTCACAAAGTACGCAGGTGGCAGATCACAAGGCTGACTTCAGCCCGAAGAGGAGACACAGAGAGAAACACCCTCCCTCCCACTGCTCACACCCTGGGAGACTTTAAAACCTTTTTATCACCCTGGAGAAATGATGTGCTTCCTTAGAACCAAGCTCAGAAGGTTAGCATGTATGTTTTTAAAAGCTGTTGTGCGAGCTATCTGCGACTTTGAAACTAGCACAGAGGAGCAAGCCCCAGGATGGGCAGCTCTGGCCACGCTTATAATTGCTCTTTATTGAGGTCTTTAATTGCTATTAAGTTGTCTTCTTACTTTACTTTCAAGTTGCCCCACCTGCACATTGAAATCAGAAAGTGAGACAGGCGAAACAGGCTTACGTGCCTGGATCCAGCACCCCTGGCTCCGTCTGACCCAAAGGCTTCCTCGAGAAGCGACCACCTTTGGGTCTGGAGCCTTTGCAGATGTTGCTGTCCCCCTCTGCCTGCAGTTCTGTCTGCTTCCTGACACCTCCCCCCTGCACACTGGAATCCCCTGGGGAGCTTTGAGACCGTGCCCAGGCTGGCTGCAGCCCAGACCAGTGAAGTCAGAAGCTCCAGGGGTGGGACCTCAGCTCAGAGCGTCCCCCGCCCCCCAGGGAATTCTGATGTACAGCCGTGAGAGAGAACCGCTGAGGTTAGCAGATTCCTGCTGGTCCTTTCGGGCTTAGCACCATTCCCGGCTCACAAGCGTCTACACACTCTAATGGCGCCTAGTAGCACTTGGCCCAGCACTGAACTTGAGAAGAACGAAATTGTTCAGTTTTCCTGTTCCCGTTGAAGTGTGAGCTCCGAGAGGGCAGGAACTCTCTTTGTCTCATCCACAATTCATTCCCTGCGCTGAGGGTGCTTGTTAAGCACGTAAATATTTGAAGTGAATGAATGAATGAAGAATGAATGAAAAATGTGAAGCAAGGTCTCTTACAGGTCACAAGGTCTTCCTTTAGCATTTGGAACACGTTCTGAATGAAAAGTGATTTCCACATAGAACAGGAAACAGTGAATTATATTTAGAAGTCCAGGACATTCTAGCTGGGTGTGGTGGCTCACACCTGTAATCTCAACACTTTGGGAGGCTGAGGCAGGAGGATTGCTTGCGCCTAGGAGTTCAAGACCAGCTTGGGTAACATAGCGAGACCTTGTCTCTACCAAAAATTTAAAAATTAGCTGGGCATGGTAGTGTGCACCTGTAGTCCCAGCTATCTGGAAGGCTGAGGTATCTTGAGCCCAGGAGTTTGTGGCTGCAGTGAGCATGCCATTGCACTCTAGCTTAGGTGACAGAGTGAGACCCTGACTCAGGAAAAAAAAAAAAAAAATCCCAGGACATCCTGACTGGCCAATTTTCTTGCTTTGGGGCCTGCTGAGGTCAAAGGGAGGAGGTACCGGCCAGGCCTCTTGGCAACCTTGGCCTATTTGTGCAGGACAGCGCAGAGGAGGGGCGGGGAGGGGCGTGGGCATGTACGGACAGTGGGGACAGCTGCCCTGCCCTGGTTCTCAAGGGCACTATGCACAGCCTTGTATGTTTGCCCTCCATGCCTAAGGGACAATCACAGGAGGAAGCACTTTGGACCCAGAAGGGGCGGCTTCAACTACTGGATTTGAAGGTTTGGCTTTTGTCTCTAAATGCACAGATGACAACACAATGACAGATGAGCCGTCATTTATGGAGAGCTCACTGTGTGTCAGGCCCTGTGCTAAATGCCTTTTCTACCATTAGACCCAACAGGGAGGCCTGCACTGGGCTTGGCACTTTGAAGAGTCCTGACCAGGCCTTTCTTTCTCCACAGGGTGAAGAGTTCACAGGCCAAAGGGTCCTGCCAACCCAGAGGAGGGTCGCCCCTCCCCACCCCAAAATGCCCCGGACACCTGGGATCTCAGAATTCCCTGAAGGGCCCAAGCCTGCTTCCAGGGCCTACCTGTGTCCTCCTAAGGGCAGACTATGCCCAAGAGGTGGCCAAGGCTGGTTGTTGGCTTGGCTGTGCTGACCGGGGCATCTAGGCAGCTAGGGACTGAGCCAGGGACCAGAGACTACCTTATTCTAGCTCAGAATGCCTGGAATTCTCAATTCCAGACCAGCATGGTGCATTCTGGAACATTCTGTCTGTCCAACACAGTAGCTACTAACTAACTCCAAGAAAGGCCTGGCATTTATATATTCACAAGTTTAAATAAAAAAGTATTTAAAAATAAAACTAGATTTAACTAGCCACCTAGGGCTCACAGATGCTGTTTTGGACAGCCCAACCCCCCAGCATCCTGAGGGTGGGTGTCAAGGGGGAAGAGAGTTGGCATTTCCTTAATTTGCTTGATATATTTAGACACAGGGCTAGTGGGCATCTCCTTGTACCCTCCTCCTAGGTCCTGCACATCTTAGGAACTGTCCAACTCTTTGCTAATCCACATCGTGATGTTCTGAGTTATTTACGGTCCCCATGTCTACAGATGAGAGAGAAAGTCACTTGCCCAGGATCGCAGAATCACCCATGGGATTGGTGCTGGCATCTGAACGCACGCCTGTCTGGTTCTGTGTTATTCAATGCGTCTGGCCCAGGACTAGGAGTTTTCACAACCATTATTTAATTTAATCCTAACATAATATTCATATGTAGGTAGAAGCCACCGCTGCACAAGTTAGGAATCGCCACCCCGATTTCACAGATGAGGAGGCAGCTTGAGGGAGGTGCAGGGATCTGCTCAGGCTCCCGTGGAAAGACCTGAGTTGGATCTCATGCTGACAGTGGCTTTCTGAGATGACCGCTTCCCATGGGAGTCCCCTCAGGGTTGGGGATTTTGAAGCAGGCCTTCGGGATCTCGCCCAATTGTGGCTGGAGAGCAGTGGCTCCACAGAGCTGAGCGTGTTGGCTGCAGAAAGCAGCCGATCACGTTCCTTCGTGATTGCTGTGTGTGGAAAAATTTGCCGTTCATCCCTCAACCAGTCTGACCAGTTTCAGGCTGGGGTTACAAGACGGCTCTGCAGACCAACTCCCTAAGAATCGAGGCTGGGACAAGCCCAGGGGCCTCTTGCTGTCACGTGTTTAGCAGGGCACCAAGTAGAGCCTCCCACCCGCTTGTAGAGCTGTACAGGTAAAGGCAGTGAGAGCCCCTGGGCTCAGGCAATCCTCCTGCCTCAGTCTCCCAAGTAGCTGGGTCTACAGGTGCACATCACCACACCCAGCTAAGCTAATTTTTTTTAGAGACAGCGTCTTGCTATGTTGCCCAGACTGGTCTTGAACCCTTGGGCTCAGGTGATCCTCTTGCCTCAACCTCCCAAAGTGCTAGTATTACAGACATGAGCCACCATGCCTGGTCAGAGTTTCTGTTCATAAGACACCACCGCTATGCCAGGCATGGGGCTTCTTTGTTCATGCACTTCATCTCATTTAATTCTTATAGCTGCCCTGTGAAGTATGTGTTTTGTCCCTTGACAGCTGAGAGAAAAGCTTATTGACTCGTGCATTCTTTCAGCAGTCACTGCCTGGGCACTGACTGTGTGTCAGACACTGAGCAGAATCTGATCCCTGCAAAGGAGATAATTACAACTGTATGTAACTTACGTTTTTAACTTTAAATGCCTTTTTGGAAAACTTGGAAAGTAGAGTAGGTTAAATGAGAAGTCATTATTGTTCTTCAATGACTTCCAGTGCCTAACCTGATCTCACCCCTAGTGGTAGCAGCAGCAATAATAATGAGTAATGGTATGGTAACAATAATAGTAATGTAATAATAACAATGTCATCATCCACAGAAGCATCTAACATTTATCTAGCACTTACTGTTAACCAGGCATTCTTGTGAATCATTTGTGCAGATGATTTCCTTCAAACTGCACAACAGGTCTAGACATGGTGGCTCACACCTGGAATCCCAGCACTTTGGGAAGCCACGGCGAGAGAATCACCTGAAGCCAGGAGTTTGAGACCAACATGAGGAACATAGTAAGAGCCTGTCTCTTTAAAAAAAATTAAGAAATTAGCCAGGTGTGGTGGCATGTGCCTGTAGTCCCAGCTATTCGGGAGGCCAAGGTGGGAAGATTTTTTGAGCCCAGGTGTTCGAGGCCATGAGCTATGATCACGCTGCTGCACTCCAGTCTGGGAGATAGAGCAAGACCTATCTCTTAAAAACTGCACATATACATCTACTATTATTATCCTCATTATATACATAAGGAACTGAGTTGCAGAGAAGCTAAGTAACTTGTTCAAAGTCCGATGGTGAGTATGTGGGGGAAACAGGAAACAGTAGTGACTCAATAGATACTTAATCATGTCAAATCCCTCTCCCAGCTTGCAATGGTGACAGTAAGGTATTAACAGAGCAAAATCTGATAGTAACTTGAGATCAAGGAATGTTCTTGAAAGTTGTTTTTCTCCCAAATCTGTTGCATGTCTGTTGTCATTTCTAAAGTGATTAATTTTCATAGGAGAAAATACTGAAAATATATCGAATTACAGAAAAAGAAATTAAAGTCCTCCCTCGCAACCCTCCCACTATCTGCATGGTTAATATTGATTATATTTCTCTCAACCTCTCTCTCTCTCTTTTTGAGTCAGTGTTTCACTCTGTCACCCAGGCTAGAGTATAGTGGCATGATTATGACTCATTGCAGCCTCAACTCCCTGGGCTCAGGCAATCCTTTTGCCTCAGGCTCCTGAGTAGCTGGGAATACAGGCATGCATCACACAGCCAGTTAATTTTTTTAATTTTCAATTTTTTGTAGAGACAAAGTCTTGCTTTGTTATCCAGGTTGATCTCGAACTCCTGGGCTCAAGCGATTATGCCATCTGGGCTTCCCAAAGTGCTGGGATTATAGGTGTGAGTCACTGCAACCTGGCCAGTCAGTCTCTTTTTATATGTGGTGAAGCTCAGATTGTGTATGCAAGGTGCTCTGATGCTTTTTTCACTCAGTGTTCTGTCATAAGCATTTCTTGTGTGATTGTATATGCTAGGAACATCCTTTTAATGGCTGAGGCAGCCTTTTAGGGGTGAGTCATTCAGCATCTTAAAAGTGAGAACTTACTCTTAGAAGCGCATTAATTTTCCCTGTGAGGGATAAGGCAGGCCCCAGGGTAAGGGTAAGGAGTCCCAGGCTTAGGGGTGCTGGTCACACTGCCTGCCAGCCATGTGACCTTGGGGGGGGTCACTTCAAATTGCCAATCCTCATTTTTTTTAAGCTGAGACAAGGAATAACAACAATAAAATAGCTGCTTCCTATGGTTCATGTGACACTAAGACACGATGACATACGTTCAAGCACTTTTAAAAGGTATGTGGTGAAGCCAACGTTTGCTCAGGATTATACATCTTTATTTTTTATTTTTTTGAAAACGAATTCTTTTCAGAATGCGGAAGTGGGCTCAAATTTAATCAAAGTGGCATCTACTACAGCGACAGCCCTGAAGGAAAAAGATGACCAAATCTACTGCCAGCCAGAATTGCTCTTTGAAGGTAAAATGCATACCCTCTTTCTCTCTCTCTGTGTTTAGGGAAAGGGTGGGTTTTCCTGGAGACCCCTGGGGCCTCTTTATGTAAAGCCTCTTCCAGTGCATGGAGGAAAGGCTCTTGGGATGTCCTAGTGGAAAGCATTTGGGGACAGTCCCCTTTCATATGTCTTCAGTCACCTCAGAGGAAAGCACTGTGTGGTCATTGGCCCAGACAGCGTCTGCAAATGCTGTGACTTATTCAACACTGGCTTATTGAACAGGCACGTCTATCTACCTCTGAATGGTCACAATACCTTGCAAAATAGGTATTATCAGCCCATGTTATAGAGGAGAAAACTGGGCCCGAGACATGTTGAGCCACACATAGAATGCTAAACCCGCTAGAACAGGGAACACATTGTCGTCACCTGTCACCATCTGGGGCCGGCCTGTGCATTGTGGGCTGTTTAGCGATATCCCTAGCCTCAACCTGCTAGATGCCAGAGCATCTCTTACCTTGAATTGGAGCAACCAAAAATATCCCCAGACATTGCCTGCATCCCAAAGGGGCATCATCTTCCTGACCGAGAACTGTGACCCAAGATATAAACCCATGAGGCGGGATCATGTGTCTGCACTCACAAAGGCCTATGTTCAATATTTAAAAGTGTAGAATGAAGCCAGGCACAGTGATGTTCATCCCAGCACTTTGGGAGGCTAGAGGAGGGAGGATGGCTTGAGTCCAAGAGTTCAAGACTAGCCTGGACCACTTGTCAAGACCTCATCTCTATAAAAATTTTTTTTTTTAAATTAGCCCTGAGTAACACACCTGTGGTCCCAGCTACTCAGGAGCATGACATGGAAGGATCACCTGAGCCCAGGAGGTCAAGGCTGTGGGGATCTGTGATCATGCCACTGCACTCCAGTCTGGGCAACAGAGTGAGACGCCAACTAAAGATAAATAAATAAATAAGAAAGAAATTCAATTTGACACAATGGGCGACTGTACATATATATTTATATAGAAAAAATTTTTAAACTTCTCTTAATTATGAAAGTAATATGTGAAAATTTCACATAATGAGATACTTAGACTCTACGATAGAAAACGTTAACTCTCAGGTAGTTGGAAACCCAGCAAACGCTTCTAAATTTTTCTCTTCATTTGTAACGTAGGGGAAACAAAATCATTCTATAACAGGCCTTTTATACTCAACTTTATGGTGTGGGCACTAGCCCATGTTATTAAAACCCTTTGCAAATATTGTTTTTATGTAATGTTATTATGGAATTCACAAGATTTATTTAACTGTTCTCCACAGTTTCCAAAGTTTCTCTTCATACACACGTGCACAGGCATGCACATATGTGCACACACACAATCAGCAGTTACTAAAAAGAGCTCTTAAAAAATCACAACAACCTCTGATTTTAATCCTGCAATTCTCTTTGATTTCTGTCTTGGCCAAGTAAAGGTGTTTATACAGTTAAAAACCTGGGTCTTGTGGTACCTTGCTCCTGAACCTTCTAATAGAGCTGTGGTAATTATCAGAAGTTTCCTCCTTTCCTCTTCCCCACCTCCCCCCTGCTCTGTGCCTCTCACCACTTCTGATCCAATCTAGGGTCTAAATCATACCCGGGGATCTTGGCTTGGGAACTGTGTCTGTGGAAAGGATGGCCAGTGTGGCCTGAAGGGTGGCTGCTCCCAGTCCCTCCCTCCTGCCCCCAAGTTGGGGTTTCATGAGCTGTCTCGTTTCCCCCCAGGCTTAGAGCTTCCACGGATCAATTATGCTCACAATGGGAAGCCATACCGATACATCTTTGCCGCAGAGGTTGAGTGGAGTCCAGTCCCAACCAAGGTACTGTCCCTTTCGGTGTCATCGTATCTGTCTGCAGAGCTGAATTCTGAGGTTTTGAGACAAGTGACCTTGATCAGAAAAGAGATGGTCAGCAGGGCACCCAGTCTGGGACAAAATAATTTGAAGTAATAATGACCCATCCAAGAGATGGTTACACCTACGGGTTCAGGTCCAAGGTCATGGTTGGAGTCTATTCATTGATTTCTTTATTCAGTACATGTTTATTGAGCACAGTGTGCTTTAATGTGGCAGTCACTGAGGATAAGGAACCAGCAGAGGATTCCAGTCCCCATCCTCAAGGAGCTCACTCTCTTGAACTGAAACTTGGAAGACGTGTGTGTGTGTGTGTGTGTGTGTGTGTGTGTGTGTGTGTGTGTGTGTATTTGTGTGTGTGTGATTTGAGTCAGAGTCTCACTCTGTTGCCCAGGTTGAAGTGCAGTGGTGAGATCATTGTTCACTGCAGCCTTGACGTCCTGGGTTGAGGCAATCCTTCTGCCTCAGCCTCTAAAGTAGCTGAGACTATAGGCATGCACCATCATGCTCGGCTAATTTTTTGTAGAGATGAGGTCTTGCTATGTTGCCCAGGCTGGTCTTGAACTTCTGAGCTCAAACAATTCTCCTGCCTCTGCCTCCCGCCTCTGCTAGGATTACAGGTGTAAACCATTGCACCCAGGCTGTTTTTTTTTAAAGCTACTATTTGTTGAACACTCCCAGGTACTGTACTAAGTGCTGTGTAGACATCACTCTTCCCTAACATTTTCATTGTTTCACAATAAAATGGAAAAAAAAAGTTAATCCGAACAGTGCAGAAATGTACAAAGCCAAAAATTAAGGCCCCTGCCACCCCCATCCCAAGACCCTCCCCACTAATTCCATACCTGAAAGGGAAATAGGCCTATGAGATATTAAGGGAGGTCCAGGGACTTGCACTTGTAAAGCAGCAGTGAGATTGTATTATACTTTAAATATTTGCATGGAATATATTTGTTATTTAACACAAAAAAATTGCAACACAGTGCCAAATAGCAGAGACATTTGGGATTTTAATTTTTTAATTCTTCTGAGTCAGTTTCTCACTCTGTTGCCCAGCCTGGAGTACAGTGGCACAATCACAGCTCACTGCAGTCTCCAACTGCTGGGCTCAAATGATCCTTCCACCTCAGCCTCCTGAGTAGCTGGTACTACAGGTGCATGCCACCATGACCAGCTAAATTTTATTATTATTATTATTATTTGTAGAGATGAGGTCTCACTATGTTATCCAGGCTGGTTTTGAACTCCTAGCCTCTAGCGATCCTCTCGCCTCAGCCTCCCAAAGCCCTGGGATTGCAAGTATGAGCCACCCTGCCTTGCCTGGGATTTTAATTTAAAAAATAATTTATTGTACAGTGTCAGCTATGTGGTCAGAGAACCTCTGGTTCAAGTTGAAGGAGGAGTGTTAGTTTCTTTCATTTCTGTGGTTGTGCTACTCAGAGGTAGATGCCGTGGAGGGATGTCTGAAATCGACATGTATGGGCCTAATCTCTCTATGTGGACCCTGATGCCTTTGTATCTGCAGGGACTAGCACGCTCTCCAACAAGCCCTTCCTATGTTTCTCCTCTTTGAATGTGCAGATTATAAAGTACGACATTCTCACAAAGTCATCCATCAGATGGGGAGAGGAGAACTGCTGGCCGGCGGAACCTCTGTTCGTGCCCACGCCAGGGGCCAAGGATGAGGATGATGGTAAGACTCTGAGGAGGTGACCCCTCCCCCACTAAATAGAGACGTCGTTTGGGGGCAGTTGACCCCCCGGGGTCACAAAGTTGGTAGAGCCACATTTAGAAGTCTTGGTCTGTTTGGGTCAAAACTGCAGGATTACAGAGTCCCCAAGTGTGAATTCTTAGTCTTCAGTATCCCCCGCCCACCCCTTTAGTCTTCAATCCCTCTGGAGGCCAATCTTATGCCCCGTGACCCAAGGCTCTACCATCAATCCCACTGTAAGCCGGGCACAGTGACTCACGCCTGTAATGCTAGCACTTTGGGAGGCCAAGATGGGAGGATCACTTGAGCTCAGGAGTTGGAGACCAGCCTGGGCAACGCCCCGACTTCTGCAAAGTTTGAAGGTCCCCAAGCCCACCTTTGGGTTCCATAATTCATTAGAACAACTCACAGAAGACTAGAAATTTCTTCTAGTCACCTTTATAGTTTATTGCAGTGAAAGGGCACAGATCACAGTCAGTGAAGGGAAGAGGTGTACAGGACAGGGTCTTGGAGAGCGCAGGCATGAACTTCCAAGTGTCCTTTCCAGTGGCGGTGTGGATGGTGCTAACTTCTTCTGACAACGATGGATGACAATACATCCTGAAGATTGCCAGCCAGGAAGCTCCCCTGAGCCTTAGTATCCAGAGTTTTTACTGGGGCTTGGACATGCAAGCATGATTGACTGCTTGTATATCTGACCTTTATTGGTCTTCAGCCCTGTGGGATGGCAATCTTATACCATGTGGCCTGAGGCCCAACTGTAAATCCTATCACAGATCAGATAGACTGGCCCATGCCTATAATCCCAGCACTTTGGGAGGCTGAGGCAGGAGGATCACTTGATGCCAGGAGTTTGAGACTGCCCTGGTCAGCATAGTGAGACCCAACCATCTCCACAAAAAATAAAAAATTAGTCACATGTGGTGGTATGTGCCTGTAGTCCCAGCTACTTGGGAGGCTGAGGTGGGAGGATTGCTTGAGCCCAGGAGTTCAAGGCTGCAGTGAGCTATGATCGTACCACTGCACTCCAGCCTGGGTGACAGAGCAAGACCCTGTCTATAAAAATAAAATAATAAATCCCATTATTATAGGCTATCTGGTGTGACCCAAGGTTCCCAGGTAAGTAAAGGCAGGAGATTCCAAGGACTTAGAGGGGATCTCCCAGGTGCTGAGGATGAAAGTTCAGCCCTTTCTTTGGACATGGCTACATTCTTTGCTCCAAAAAGCCCATGTTCTTCCCATGGAGAGACACTAAACTCTCTCAGAAGTAGAAAGTGGGTTTTAAAATGCAATGGCTGGATCCAGATGTCTAATTCCCTGCAAGTGTGTAAATGTGTCCCGAGCACCTGGAAATGAGCGTTTGTGGCCCACCTCTCTTTTCCAGCCTCTCTTTTCCAGGTTTCCATGTGACCGAATGGCCCTTTCCCTCCTTGATTCTCAGAAATGCCCTGCCCACAGCCCTGGGTGCCAAGAAGGGGAGCTAGAACCATGGGTGGGGACGCCACCCAGCCAAGCCGGTGATGGGGCTGCCCACACCTGCAGGGAGGGCAGGCTGCCCGCTGAGCCTGCCAGCTTCTTCCCTCAGGGGAGAAGGGAGTGGTTTCCACCCAGGCCTTGTCTTCATACTGATCACAGCATGGCATGCCAGGTCGCGGACCCCGTGTCACTGTTGTCTCTGCGGTGGGGGACGGTGGGCATTGCCTCCTGCTGAGGCCAGTCTCCTACTCAGCTGGACAAGGGCTTCCTGTATGTGCCCTCTGTGGGCAGGAAGCAACATTGTCTTCACCTCACCGATGAGAGGCTCAGAGAGTGAGATAACTTGCCCAAGATCACACACCCAGGACACACAGAAGTAGGATTGGGGAATCTAGGGCCATCTGTGCTCAGCCACTCTGCACCCGGGAGCCCTGGGAAGAATTGCGAGTCTTTGCAAGAAGTTAATGCGTTATTTCCTTTAACCCTCTCTCCTTTGAGAGTGAGTACAGAGATAATTTCCATTTTATGGAGGGGAAAGCTGAGGCTACCAGGGTTGCCACATGTGCAAGAGGTGAATTGCTCATTCAACCACCATTTGAGTGCCAGGAGTCTGTGTTTAGCTGAGTGATGCATATTAGCCCAAGTGTGTCCCTGAAGCTGATTGCCTGTAATTGGAGTTTTTAAATAGTAGGATAATAGCCATTCTTCCATGCCTGCAATAATGTATAGAGTGCATTCCTAATCCACCATGCAGGAGAGCCTCTCAGCAACCCTATGAAGGGAGGTAGGATTATTTCCACTTTACAGATGAAGAGACTGAGGTTCAGAGAGGTGGAAGGCCTGGCCCAGCCAGGGCTGGAACCAGGTCTTCTGATACCTAGTTCCCAAGTCTTTCCCAGAGTGCCACATTCACTTCCCTCCTATTTGGTGAGATACAGAAGCTCCAAGAGATATGACCGAGAAATGAATCCCCGATGGGAGGAAGTTCAAGGCTGCACTTTTACAAAGTGCCTCTTTTGTTTCCCCTAAGGAGTCATCCTATCAACTGTTATCTCTACCGATCCCCAGAAGCAGCCTTTTCTGCTTATTCTGGATGCCAAAAGTTTCACGGAAGTGGCTCGTGCCTTTGTCGACGTGGACATGCACCTGGATCTCCATGGGATATTCATCCCGGGCGCAGACTGGGACGCAAGGAAGCAGGCCCCTTCCCAGAAGCCACGGGATAGAGATTCAGACGGCGTGGCCCCACAGACCTGACGCTGTCGAGGCTTGTGCCCAGGAAGCAGAGCCCATCCCGTGGGATCCCACAAGACTCCAGGCTGGGTACCTGTCTCTGGGTGGGAGCAGGGGGGACTTCCTTTCATTCTGCACTCTTTCTATCTGTGAGTGCTTTGACAAGGGCATGGAGGGAGGGCTCGTCAGTTCTTTTCTTTCCATTTTATTTTGGCTGTAAAAACATGGTTTGAAAGTCAGATATTGATGGATTGGATCTAGGACTTCTAAGAAGGCGCCTTTCCTTAATTAAAGACCTTGAACATGAATCAGAAATTGTATTACCTCACAAGATCATTGTTTTGAGAGTGAACCACTAACATATTAGAGAAGAGACGGACAAATATTTGCCCTTTCCTCTTTCTCTTTCTCCTTCCCTCCCTCCCTTCCTCCTTTCCAATGGAGTCCATTGTACATCTGGGAGTTTTTGTTTCCTCAGCCATGCCCGATTAGTAAGTTATGTGACTTGGGAGGCATGTTGCTTTGTGGTCATTTCATGCAAGGCATGGCTTAATAGAAAATAATAAAAACTCTCAAGTCTACGCAGACCTTGCTTTATTTGTATGTGGTTTCTTCCTCTGAGGTTCTTCTAAGGCAATGAAACAGAATTTCAGGGCTCGATGGCCAGCAAGTTGCCTTGTGGTACAATCATTGGGACTAACCAACTGATATGGAACTCTTTCTGTGCAGGAGGGGTTAAGGTGCTGGACATCGGCCTGTTTGGCCATGGCCAAAGGGCTAGAATCTGGGATTGAGTCCTAGGGCCAGGGAGCATGAGGATTTTTTTGTCTGTGCTGAGAACCACTGCAGTGGGCCATGCCCATGTCCATAGGGAAAGGAGGATCTCCAAGTTGTACAAGCTGCCAGGATAGAACAGGCATTTGGGACAGAGTGAAAGAGGTGATGGCTCCTAAGCCAGGTGGTGATGGGAAGAAGAAAGTTGGGTCAAGCCAAGTGCAGCGTCACACAATTACTGGGAGCCCCCTGGGCACCTGAGTCTCATCTTTTTAGTTCAGTGCATTTGTCAAAGGACCAAAGGCGGTTGGGTGCCCTGGTTCATGCCTGTAATCCCAGCACTTTGAGAGGCCGAGGCAGGAGGATTACTTGAGGCCAGGAGTTTGAGACAAGCCTGGTCAACAAAGCAAGAACCCCTTTCTACAAAAAATTAGCTGGGATTAGTGGCATGTGCTTGCATTTCAGATACTCAGGAGGCTGAGGCAGAAAGATCACCTGAGCCTAGGAGGTGGAGGTTGTGGTGAGCCGTGACTGTGCCACTGCATTGCAGCCTGGGTGACAAAATGAGATCCTGATTTAAAAAAAAAAAAAAAGGAAAGAATAAGAAAAGAACTACAGGCAGGCTGGGTAATTCCCAAGTACCCGCATCATGGGTTCAGGGAAGCTAGAGTTCACACCCTTGTACTACTTGTCCCCTTTCCTGAGTCTGGACTCCATTCAGTCACCAACATGGATTCAAGGAGGGAATCTCTGTTGTAAGAGCATGGACTACCCCAGAGGGGTCAGACCTACCAGGGTAGTCTTGGCTTTTGCTCTGCAACCACCACGAAACCAACCTTAACTTCCATGATACTGTAGGCTCCAATGGTCGAGGAGTTATTTTTTTCTTAATTGAAAAGTTAAATAAAGAATTTTGAATAACAAATAGAGACAGAGTCTTACTGTGTTGCCCAGGCTGGTCTTGAACTCCTGGGCTCAAGCAATCCTTCCCTCCCTCAGCCTCCCAAAGTGTGGGGTTACAGGCATGAGCCACCGATCTTAATTTTGAAATTTTTATTGAGATGATTGTGTATATATGTGCAGTTTTTTTTTTAATTTAGAAATGTATTCTGTTTAATACACAAGCTTTATATAGTTTTAGTTAACAAACAAACAGAAAACAAACAAACAAACAAAAACCCCAAAACAAAAACAGTGAAACCAAGACACTATTTCAAAGTCTGGGCCCTTCCAGCCTTCCAAACACAGGAGCTTTGAAAGTTGTATACACCAATTGGAAGAACAAGACAAAAATACGAATGGAGCCATGAAATTTCATAAAACAAAATTTTATGTAACTGAAGGATCCTTCCTGGGACTAGTTGCCTTTACAAAAGAAGAAAACAAAACAAAACCAGAAGAACAGAATAGAATGAAATTCCAGTGTTCCACATCAACTTGTTACACAAACCCACAGTGTCCTGGCAAACAACATGCTTTCATTTTCTGTCTCATCCTAGAGCTCGAGTCCTGATTCATTTCAGCAGAGTCTCCACAGGCAACAGGAAAGATTATGTGCAGTTTTAAGAAATTATGCAAGCCGGGCTCGGTGGCTCAGCCTGTAATCCCGCGCCTTTGGGAGGCTGAGGTGAGTGGATTGCCTGAGCCCACGGGTTCGAGACTTGCCTGGGCAGCGAGACCTCATCTCTATAATAAATCAAAAAATTAGCCAGCCGTGGTAGTGCGCGCCTGTAGTTCCAGTTACTTGGAAGGCTGAGGCGGAAGGATCGCCGGAGCCCTGCAGGTCAAGGCTGCAGTGGCCGGGAGCGGCCACCGCACTCCAGTCTGGGCGACAGAGTGAGACTCCAACTCAAAAAAAAAAAAAAGAAAAGAAATTATGCAGAAAGATCCTATGGAACCTTTACCCAGATTTCCCAGTAGTAACATTTTGTAAAACTACCAGCCAGGACATAAATATTGATACAATCCACCAGTCTTATTCATATTTCCCCTGTTTTACTTGTACTCACTTGTGTGTGTTTAGTTATAGACAATTTCTAGACTGTGTTCCCCACCATAGTCAAGATACTGAATCGTACAGCAGCACAAGGATTTCTCGTTTTTTTGTTTTTATCTTTAATCCCCAAACCTGCCTCCCTCCCACCCCATCTCCCATCCCCTAATCCCTGGCACCATTGGTAGAATTTTGTCATTGTAAAAATGTTACATATATGGGGTCACACAATATCAACCTTTTGGGATTAGCTTTTGTCACACAGTAGAACTTCTTGGAGAATCGCCTAGTTGCCATGAGTTTTCGTCCAAGTTGTTGATGTTTGCATAGGTTTTATTCACTGCATTATCCTCAGTACTTGTAACACTGCCCGGTGTAATGCAGACACTTAATTACTATTTGAGTGAATGAGTGAATGGATTTTCCCAGAAAACAGACTCAGCTCCTCAGTGCACTGACAAGAAATGGATGTTTTGCTGAAAATCTCCTGGGAGATGGAAGAGTTCATGTGGAACCCAATGACAAGACACGAAAACCCCCACTAAGTCTCCTCACTCCTACTTTACCTCTCTCTTCCCCTGTTGGTTTCTTAAAACCCTTTCTACCATGCTGTGCATGTCTGTTTTCACCCTCAGCTGATATACCCCACTCAACAAAACACAAACCCAAGGATATGGCAGAATGAAGACCATCGACTCTTCCTCAGAATCTCCTTTGGAAAATGCCAGTCTTGATGAAGTGCACTGGGGGAAAACACCACCTATCTTGACCTGAGAAAAGGATGATGGAGACCTGTGTTTGGGTGGCAGGAATGGAGGAGGGCTGACACACATGATAGTCACTCACCCACTCCTTCTCCTACCTTAAATATTTGAGAAGAGGGCGGAATTAAAAAATGCTTCCCCACCTCCAGTCTACTCCATTCCTATTGCCAAATAGTACCCAGACCTAATCATGAAAAAGGGTGCAGTTCTGCGGCAAAGAAAAATATGTCTGTGGCTTGTTTACCTTGTTTAAGATGACAGGTGGAATACCAGATGGATGAGGAGAGCTGGCATGCCAAGTCTTTCTTTCATGGTTTCAGAAATGCCAAAGGTTAATGCCAGGGTGTTCAATGTATTGGATCCTTAGTTCCAATACATTTCACTCCCAGGTGAGCGTCCTCAGCTCAAAACGCCACAGGAGCCAAAGTGCATGCTCCCCTCTTAAAGACCTCACCAGGCACTCCATCTTGTCCTCCAAGTCTTCCTTGTTATGTTTCATGTGGGTGTAATATGTGACCAGGAAGTTCTGCAGGAAAAATCAGTCTGGCCTTGCTTATTGCTTTGATAAAGCCACAGCATTTCCCAAGGGCTCTGCACCATGTCAGGCATACGGTAGGCACTTGAATGTTTGCTGACCTACTCACTTTTTCCACCGAAAGTTTCTCTAATTTGATTCGGATTCAGGAGTAAGCTGGGTAAATACTTAGGCAAATTAACTCAGGAAATAATCTAAGGGCATGAGAGCTACATCTGTAAGATTTGTTCCTATGCTTTCTCCCGACCAAAGCTACTGAGGTCAGGTGGACTCCTTTAAGAAGGGGCTGGTCCACGTACAGTGTAAACACCTTTGATCGCTTCTCAAGCTGTTCAGAGACTGTAGGGGTGGTTTTTAGATGACCAGGAGAAGTTTTTCCCATGGCAAGTCAGGGCATGCAGACCAAAAAGTTGTCGCCACCATTCTTACCAGCCAACAATGATGAGATGTGTAGCCCCAACACTTTAACTTTCTTTCGGGAGTTTTGTTAAGCTTTGTTTTTTGTTGTTGTTTTTGTTTGTTTGTTTGGGTTTGGGTTTGTTTTGAGACAGGGTCTCGATTTGTCACCCAGACTGGAATGCAGTGGCGTCATTATAGCTCACTGCAGCCTTGACCTCCTGGGCACAGGCAATCCTGCCACCTCAACCTCCCAAATAGCTGGGACTATAGGTGCGTATCACCATACCTGGCTGATTTTTTTATTTTTTATGAAGATGAGGTCTCAAAATGTTGCCTAGGCTCAGCTTGAATTCCTGGGTTCAAGTGAGCCTCCCATTTCAGTCTCTCAAAGTGATGGGATTACTGGCTTGAGCCACTGCACCCTGCCTCTTCTGGGAATTTAGTCCAGAGACCATGAACAGAAACACACAGGGTAGGCCGTCCAGCTCCTGAGGTCAAGTCCCTACACAGGAGGATGTGGGGGCAGGTTGGCAATGAGTAAGACTTCTTTCTTCCTGGA